GAGAGAGAGAGAGAGAGAGAGAGAGAGAGAGAGAGAGAGAGAGAGAGAGAGAGAGAGAGAGAGACAGAGAGATTCTGATATTTCTGGTCTTGTGCTTGCACTTTCATAGACTTTTCAGGAACCAGGAACACGTATAATGAAGTATGTGCAGGTGGCCGTTTTAGAATCCGTGCTGGGCGTGCGCTGGAAGTCAGATTCCCTTATAGCAAAGCTAAAAATAGCACTACGCCTGTGTTACATTGTGGGGGGGGGAGGGGGGCGGCGCAGGCGGCTAGGGAGGGAGCAAATGGTGGGTGGGCAATAGGTCAGCGGTGATAGCGTTGCCATATTTTCAGTTTGGTGTCTGCTGTTTTGTCTACCTACCTCTGCAGCTTCAATTAGCATACAACAGGTTATGGGATGAGTATTGCCTGTTAGTGCCGGTGAAGGGCATGAAGGGCAAAAGGGGAAAGTGGGGCCAGGGGCATCGACAGACCGGTACTGTGTCGCCTCCTTTATGCTTTGTGATTGTCCTCTCATAGGCATGTCTGTCTGCTTGTTTGTCTGTGCTGACTCTCCCTGCCTCAGGGTAAGTATGTGGTTATGTGCGAGGACTATAAGCTCAGGGAACCAACCCACGAGGTCATGGACATGGTTGTTCAAGCCCGCCATCAACTGACTGGATACACTGGTCATATTCACGGAGCCCAGGTACGCTTCGGGAGCCTTTTTTTTTTGTTTTTAGAAAAAGAAGCCTGGCTGGTTGATCAACTTGATCTGCATCAAGATTGCAAAAAAAAAAAGAAGAGGATCAAAGATTGAAAAAAATAAAAATAAAAATCAAAGATTGAAAAAAAAAAGAAGGAGATGAAGTTTGACGTTGTTTGTGAGGAGGAGGGGGAGGACGATGATGACGAGGAGGAGGCCGCCCATGAGGAGCAGCAGAAGCAGTGGCAGCAGCAGAAGAGGAGGCCGCCGTTGAGGAGGAGAAGCAACAGTGGCCGCCGTTGGCATTTTTTTTTTCCTCTCTTTCTTTTCTGTCACATCAACCTTTCATTCAATAATTGGGAAAGCTTACAAGGCCGGGGAACCTCACAAACAGCAGCAGCTATGAATCTGCACATCTGAGCCCCAAGTCCTCCGTGCATGCATGGATTCGAACCGGCGACCTCGGCCTCAAGAGCCAACCCTGAAGCATTGCCCAGCTCACAGGCGGAAGACATTCAGAGGGGATGAGAGAGGCCTTCCTGAAGTTAGGGAGGACTTGAGAGAGAAAGTTTGTGTGTGTGTGTGTGTGTGTGTGTGTGTGTGTGTGTGTGAGAGAGAGAGAGAGAGAGAACCTTCCTGTGTGAGTGGTGTCCATAGCCACCGGTGTACATGCATGAGACTTTGATAGATATAAGACTTCCATTTTTTTAATATAGTTTTTGAAACCACCAGTACTTGGCCCAGCTATTGGCCGTGGAAAGAAATAAAGTGGAAACATTTCTAGTCGGAAGAATTTGGGCGCTCCTGATAGTGGCCCGTACGTTTCCTAAAATCGTGGCGTGTATGTGGGCACGACTTCAGGAAGTAATGGTGGTTTAATCATGAAAAGTTAAGGCCGGGAATCCCTCAACAATCTTATTAAGGGTAATATCAAGCCTTGGGCACCGGGCCCGGTTAAAAAAAAAAAAAAAAAAAAAAAAAAAAAAAAAAAAAAAAAAAAAACCGGAGAAAACAATACTGGGACCTCTACCCAGCTTAGGTGCAGGCATTGGGGGGAAGAAGCTTCGTAGTGACAGAAATGGTCACATCCAGACCGCTTCCGCTGCCCTGTTACCCTTCATTGCCTTCAATTCTACCGTCTTCACCCGAATAGAACGCCCGGTCATTATAGCCGTATTTGGTGCAACTTGCAGTCCAGATACGGCAATAATTACCGGGCGTTCTATTCGGGTGAAGACGGTAGTTTGAAAAAAAAACATGCCATCAAGGCCTGAAAAGCCACACAAACCTAGAGTTTGAAATTTCAAACGATTTTTGCTGTTTTCTCCTTAAAAAAAAAAAAAAAGAAATAAAAAGAAACGGGTCCACCAGTGTCACACTTTCAGTTTCGAAAGGGCAAAAAAAACACGTGTGGGCAACAAAATCGGGTGCGGAGTTTGAAAAAGGGAGATATGGGTAAAAATGCCTGTGGCCCGCGTGTGATTATTTTGGCGGAAATTTGGCCTTTTCAAACTCGGAGCGCGGGTAAAAATGCTTTTGTTGCTCTTTTGAGCTCAGCGCGCGAGTTTGTTGCCCGCATGTGATTTTATTGCCCTTTCCAAACTCATTTGTGCGACAACCGAACTTGCCCCCCCACCACCAAAAAAAAAAGCTTATCTTACACTATCAGGGAAGAACCCTGAGTGGCTCATGGCCAATCTTGGACACAGCTCCAGGGCCGAGGTCCCACTAGCAAAGAGGATAGGATCAAGCTCCTGAATCTGGATGTGTTTTATGCAGAGATGCAGAAAAGCAGTTCAATCTCGATTTCCTGCACCTCTCCCCAAACACGTCCAGATTCAGGCAGTAAGAGGGTACTAGGTCATGCATGTTCTTCGGGACATCCGTTAAAATTGGAACGATACAGAGAAAGAGAAGATTAGCATGGCCCCTGCGCAAGGATGACACACATAAATTGAGAGAAAAAAAAAAAAAGAGGGTATTAGGTCATATACTCAAAGTTCGAATGTGACGATACCAGAGATAACATCACTGACTGTCGCAAATATTGCTTCTGCGGTCCATGTTTGGAAGAGAGGAGAGGTGGTCTATTCAAACATGTCAGTGGCAAAAGGGTACAGTGGAGTCGTTGCGGGATTTGATCATCAATGACCCGTTTCCCTGTTTGTCTGTTCAATTCATAATCCTTTTCCTTTATATACATATAAACAGAGAAGGGGCAGGCTGAGGTCCTCCCCCCAAAAGAGGGGCAGGTTATGTAACCCCCCATATGGCCCCGGAAGGTTACGCTTTTTTTTTTTTTTTTTTAGTAACCAGTCCCCTCACTAGCAGAAATGATAAGAGCATCCCTCTCTAGCGAGCTTCCTGGTTGCTCCGATCTATTTTTGGGAAGCAGCACTTGCTGGAAAACGGGTTCAGCGTCCCATCATACAGCAGACAGGCCTGCCAGCATTGATTACCCTTGTTGCAGGGGATTGACTGAGCAGGCAGTGCTGGAAAACGGGTCCAGCGTCCCATCATAAATCGGAAGGGTACGCATGGGTCCATCTTAGCAAACAGGTCATGAGTTCAAATCCTACTGGATACCATAACGTTAAGGGACCTGTTTGTCTGTTCAATTCATATTCCTTTTCAGTACCCGGAGATTTTTCTTTTCAGCCTGTTACTGTAGCAGTCAGGCTCGGAACCGTGCAACTTTTGGTTCGTCAATTTAGCTTCGTGTGAACTGGCGGTTTAAACCGCTAGTACCTTTCCCAGCTATCAGCCGCGGGCCCTGCAAGCCGAGTTTTGGCGGCGCATCTGGCCGCCGCCGGAGGCCGAGAGAGCGCATTTCGACAAATTGCCTGGGAAAGGTACTGGTGGTTTAAGCCACCACTATGGTTCTCATACGTCGGCCGCGGGGTGGGTCCCACTCGTTTCAGAGACGGGTAGCTGCCGATGAAAAATGAAAAATATCAGCGGCCACCCGGCGGCAATTTTTTTGGATGAGGTCGTTTTCCCAAATGGGACTACAGCTGCGAAAGGCAGTTAATAGTTATGGTTTAACGGTAAGCACCTGTTTGTCTGTTCAATTCATCATCCTTTTTTGTATCTTTTTTTTTTTTTTTTTTTTTTTTTTTTTTTTTGAAAAGCCCTTTTGCAAGGCCTCTATTTTAGTGGTGTTCAATTCATCATCCTTTACCGGCGTATAGTGCATAAACAGAACAAGGGCAGGGTCTCTTTAGGCAATGATTAAGAACTGTTATATATATATTATCATTTACAGTGTAATCAGTGAGGGGATTCTGCAGACTGTTGAGGGTTCAGCCTCCTGATGAGTCGGTGAAACACCGACGAAACAGTTTGTCACAGCCCCTCGTTTGTTGTCCTCTTATCTCTCTCTGCCTACGGTTTACCGGGCAGTTCTGTTTGTGACGATATATGCTACGACTTCGCTAGCTTCCTGCTATGTTTTTTTCCGGACAGGTCGAGCGGCAGTGGTCGGGGCCGTTACTAGGCGGCCATGCTGTGCCTCTAGTGCCAGCGGCGTGTCTGGAGTGTATTTTTTGGCTGTGACAGACCTTTCTTTGTTTTGTGGATGTTTTGCTGGCTTGTGATGGGGTGTGAACCGACAGTCTGTAGAGTTTTCCATCTGGTGTGGGTGAGTGACAGTCTACTTTGATTTTGGTTAAGGTAGATTATCATTTACAGTGTAATCAGTGAGGGGATT